CCATTGCCGGAACCTGCCTGGATACATTTGGGTACATCTCAATCTTGGCACTGCTTGGCAAGTGACAAGTGTTTGTCCTTGTTCATCCATTTTCCCGCATGACTTGTTGCAGCCAAGGTTTGTGAAGTGGACGCGAGAGCTGACGGTTTGGGTGTCCCAGATGGGCGGCTTCAGGAGCTTGATTGTTTGAATTGGCAGGACCAATGCAGTATGTTCTGTGAGCCAGGTATTCTTCTGGCAGAAATTCATCCCTTAGAAGGTTCTTTTCTGTGTTACCCATTGCTGGAACGCCCAGCTGTAAGCATGTTTGCCTGGCCATAGACCCTAGCTGAAGCTTGGAATAAAGTGATGTTCAGAAGCTTGAGTGAGCAGCCCAAACCGATCAAGAATTGTCCATCACAGATTCATCAAGGCCATTATTGGTGAGTGAATTTTCAAGCCGGGCCTCTCAATAACTGTGCATAACACTGGAGATATTGGAAGACATCATTGACACAAATGACCTCAGTTTCCCAGCATCTTCCTTGCACTGGCTAGGTGCCTTTGGGGCCTCAGCTACGGACTTCCAGGCACGAGTACAGAGATGCAAGGATTCTGAAAAGCCAGTTGTAGTCACTGTGGTCTATGATGTTAGTTAAGTTATGCCGATAAAAACAACATCTACACTACATAACAATACATGTGGCATGATAAGCAATGTACCTGTTTCAAACATACCTGGCACCCTGCTCAAGCTTGGATGCCGCAGCCACTTCACGTGACCATAAGCCCCGACGATCGGAGGACCAGGCGAAGCCTTTCTGCTCGGGAGCACTCCTCATCACGGAAGCCGGGGAACTAAGTTCGCCGAGGCTTTCAAGGCTTTTAGTTGGGGCTCAAAGTGCTTCATCCGCATGGGTACGCATTGAAATAAGGAGGGGTTCTCAGGTTGGAGCTGACAGACAACTCTTTGGGTTTGGATTTTCACAACTGGGCTTGACTCTTGGTACACATTGAATGTTCATTGTTCGTACTCTTGTTGACCTGGTTCTTTCTGAAGCTGCTCATCAAAACATCATGCGCACAACATCATGCAAAGGTTTTGATCACAAATTCTAGTAGAGTTTCATCAGGGTAGGATGGCTCGAGCCAATGTGAGATTGCAAGATGCCATCAGTGTGCTTCACTTGTGTCCATGGATAGTTCATCCATCACTGTTCATCATATTGATGTGTGGGCATCCAGTTAACATGAGGCACTCGGTTTCCTGCAAAGGACTGCCAGCACGTGCCCGAAGCTCAGAGTGTGAGGCATTGGGAGGAGTGAGTATTCAGGTCGGAGGTAGACTTCAAAGCATCAATCTTGATTCACTTCTGCTATACACACTCGACCCACCAGCTCTCGATTTCAACTGCACCGAAGCCAAGTACAGTATTTCCGCAGGAGAGAGAGGCCATTGCTCGACATCTGCAACGTTCCAAGTCGCAGGCTCTTTGACGAGAGTGCCTTTTGGGGGGGATGCACAGGAAAGCTTTAACTTGACAACCTCTCATTAGGGAGCAGTACTTTGCTAAGCCTTGCCTAGTAACAAGCAGACAAGCGACGAAAGTCCAGAAATTTTGAGAAAACGATCAGACAAAACAGTCGAAAGGAAGAACGCCCCCCAAGAAAAGAAGCAAGCAACTGACAATTTCTGCGCAGTGCCCCACCAGGCGCTGGAAGCTCCCGAGATTGTGCAGGTGAAGGTCTGATGGTGTGACATATGTAATGCTCTGACCAAGAGATGGGGAATGAAATTGAAGCACCAAGCGAGCACTCCAACCTAAGAGCGATGGCCTCCAACCTAGTAGCGACGGCCTCCAACCTAAGAGCGATGGCCTCCAACCTAAGAGCGATGGCCTCCAACCTAGTAG